CTTACGTCGCGGAGAATATGCATACATATCCATTTTCTTGCAAATTTTGAAATTAGCCATTTGTTTTGTTTAAGCGATTATCATAACTATCCTGAGACAAACCAGTGGTAAACAGATGGAGAAAGCGAACAATAGCTATTTAAACACAATTTCGTAGGACCCTCTCACCTTGATTCCATAAGCGTTCGATTTTCTCGCAGAAGACTCTACAACAATGTTATTTTGATGCTTAAAAGCTTTCTTTCTCAGTCGAAAATTAGAGACTTGTGAGAAGGTAGTGAGCTGTTGAGATTTTCGCATCTTTTTTACTACTATTATTAGATTCAGATTAGATAAAGCCTTATCGGCATGTAGTTTGTTTCTGTACTTTTAGCACGAGGAATAATTTCTTCCTCTTCATTTTGAAAATGAACATTTTCGTCGCCAATAACTTGAAATAATTTGTTTCTTTTGTGTGTGTAAAAAAACTGCGTATCCCATACAGTTTGCTCACATGCATCTTGCTCTGTGATTTGGCAGGTGGAATTGTTTTCGAGTCTGGAAAAAGTAGACCACTTTAAAAGCCTTATCGAGATCATAATAATCTATCTGACTAGAATTTCAGTTTCTTTCTTACATAAATTAAACAACAGCAGCGTTTAATTGCAAAGGCATATTCGCAGGAAGTGAAATCGATCTATTGTTAGCACTGAGCATTTCTGCTTGTAACAAACCAGTGGCAAAGTATTCAATCCATTTTGTCCAAGATCACTTAGTTACCGCATTCTTTTGGTTCCTGCTTGCTGTACAAGTTTTCTCGATCGGTTCTCTTGCTTCTGTGGTGGTCAAAACATATGTTTAGAAGTTTGTTCATGGAATTTTTTTTTCTGAAAAGGCTTAGTGCTTCTTTTAGTGCTAATTTAGAAGCGGCGGTGAGCTTTGCTTTGAAGCTTTCAGCAAGTATACCAGTCTTTGTGTTTTAGCATCGCTAAGTAACCAACAAATGCCCGTGAATCACTCTCTGTAATCAGACACACTTTCAAAGAGTACAGTGTATAGATAAATAACTCTCTAAGTTGCGTGTGTGGGAAATGCAACTTCCCTTTTGTTCAGACAGACTGCTTGTGGCTCATTGTGCCTTCTATCACAAACTCAAGGGTCGCCGAAGAAACTCTGACTCTCCTAAATATTGTCATATAAACAGGCGAATTTTGGAGCCCGGAGTGATGTTCAAAGGTGTTTTTCTATTGCGATCTATGTTTAATGATTCTTATCATCTGGAAATCGGTGGAATTGCGATGCATACTGTGTGCCGCTGATCTTCGCCATAAACGGTGAATCGTGCTTTAGCTCTAAGGGCGGTTTTGGTTTTTTATCTCCATTTTCGTGCTAAAGCTCATTGGAAAAGAGTCCTCTCCAAATTTTTTTCATTTTTTATTGCAAAGTCAAAATGCATGTCTCACTTTCCACCCCGTGCGTGGGTGTACAATTCGTTTCAAGCACAAAAACCATCGCTTGCTGTAATTAAGAAGCTGTTTAACTCAAAGGTTAAATCGCAAATACTAGTTTTTTTTTTTTTTTGAAAGGGCGGAATCTGGTACAAAACAAAATTAGCTGATAAATTTTGTCGAAGATAAAGAAAAGCACCGCGGGGAACCATTGTGGTCTAGAAAAATAAAATCATGTCTTGTTATTTTTTTGTTCAAGCTTTAACCACTTCTCACAGACGGTGAAGTTTCCAGTAAGACAATTTGACTAAAAGGAATACAGGTAGCTCTCTAATGAACACAAGGTACAGCCGCCTTAAAAGCACACAACACAGCACTGCGCGTTCTTAATACTATAAGGAGTATTTCACAATCAGCCTATATAGTTTGCGTCAATTGATGTCTGTATAACGTAACCTCTAACGAATTGTACGTCAGTTTGTAATTCTACACAGTTTTTTTTAAACTTACAAAACAAATATCATAGCGATATATTTTTTTGTTTTGTTTTGTGAGTAGGCATTGAAAGATGTCATTTCAATTAAAGGATGTTTTTACGACTGAATGGGTTTTTTTTCAGCAGTTCAACTCTTGATTAAACAAAGCCATGTTCTCCACGTGTGTTTCTTCTGTGGTCCTCTAATTTAAATGAGAATACGTCGTGAAAATTTGAATGGAATCTCCTTCTCCCCTTTTTTCGAGTGATCTTGCTTCTCACTCAGTAAAAAACCTGTGAAAAAAACAGTACTGTGACAATGATTAATCGCTTCGGAAAAAAAAGTTTTTCTGAACGAGAAGTGAAATACTACCTGTCCTCCTATAAACGTGAAGGTGGCTTTATGATCAATTGGGTGTTAAATGCTCTATCTGTAGGCTGTGCGAGACAGCCAGAAGTGTTACCATATTGTATATTATATAAGTGAATATGGCCGTCGCATAGAATAAATGCTTAAATTTCGGTGCATTTATTTTCTTTTGAATTTTGATTCTTCCGGAGGTAAGAAATTTTTAAGGAGGTTTTTGTCAGTTCAATAACAACTTCAAGAAAATTTTTACAAGCAATTTTAAGCAAATTTCATTTATAGATTCTTTGACAGAGAATTAGTTTTTTTCAATAATGTTTTTTTATTATTTAACATTTGAGTGCTTTGTATTGGAATTAGGAATTTACACATGAAATGGGAACACTTTTGCTCTAACCGCTGGAAAACAAATAATAGATGTGCAGAAAATGGCCTGTTTTTCCTAGCGACAGTACCAGCTTCACCCGAGATTAAGAGGCCGTCAATGTTTTAATTAGAACTAATTTTCCAAAACGTTTTTAACACACTATTCAGTTTAGTCAATCTCTTGACCCTAAGGATAGATAATTGTTTGAACATAATTTAGATGTATTCTACTTTCCCTTTTTGCGACATGAACTCTTGACAAACATTTCATCTAGTTGCTCTTGTATCTTGCATATCATCTCAGAAGCTTTCCTCAAAAAAAAAAAGTGGTTTCTGGGTTTCGTTTCATCGATAAGACTGAAATAAGGCTGGCAAAAAATATATATATATATAAATGTTAAGTTCCCTTTCATTAGAAAATTTGTGCGAAAAGGGTGTCGGCAGTTGTTCTTAAAACTTGGCCGCACAAATCATCTGTATAATTTTCTATATCCCACCAGCATCGTTTTCTCTTTAAAAAAATAGTTAATATTATTGGTCACGTACGGAAAAAACAGAATGGTTTTCTTTGTTTTACGGTAGTCGGTACAGTTGTTATTATCAGATCAAATCATTCAGAAGAACTTTACTCAGCTCTGAATCTCGCTTCGGATCTTCTCTGAAGATATCAAATTCTTTATTGTTTATGTTCAGAAATTGTACAAACAAAATTCACAGATTTTTATCATTTTCAATTCAATAGCAAGTACTCTTTTAGAATTTGAAAGATCTCTCTATTTACAATGAAATGGTACATGAGTTGGGAGAACCTTTCGCTCATGTGTGCAGCGGGTGCAGCGGGTGCAGCGGGTGTAACGGATTCAGCGGGTGGTCTATTCAGTTTTTTAAATATTCATATATTTACCGGGCGCTTTCAGTCAGCACTGATCAGCCCATACGGATGAAAAAAAAAAATTACGCTTGATGTGTAATTACAAACGATTTTCATTTGGGCTGATTGCTACAGAAAATTTGTTTCCATAGAGTTGACAAAATCGGAAGTTGGTATGTTCACTAAAGAGTGTTTTGATGACTTCGCTGTAATTGCGTAGCTCCGCTGAGGAAATCCACCACGTTTTAATTCACCATAGAAACGATACCAAAAAGGTGGTTCACCAGATGAAATGAGGTCCGCCCCTAAAACCACTTAAATTATCAGACCTTTTGTTGAACGCTGGAGGTGCGATACAAAAAAAAAAAAAGATATGGGGAGATAAGCAACGCTTTTGTAGGTATCTGAAGCACGTTTGGTCAATATGTTTTTATGATTGCCGATGTTTTTTTCATCACTCGCGTATGTTTTAGTTCCATATGTATTAGTGTGAGCAGCCATCACTGTTAGCGACACGTGTTATGATATCAAAAGAACGCCCACATTGCAGCCTATCACATTTCATTGTACAGTTCAGTTGCTACAGAATTTCAAACGACTCGCCCACTCAACTCACGCGTCTTTTTATTGGCAGGTATACTGTAGAAAGCACCACTCTTCGAATAACGTTTAAATGTTTTTCTATTGGCAAGTTAATTGTATGGCGAGACTCCATTATATCCACAAAACGAAAAGACCTCTATGTTGGGGATGCTAATGTAACACAATTTGTCGCTTTAATTACCACATGTGCATCAAAAATAACTGTTGTCTTAATTCCAAGAACTATACTTTTCCAGTACCTTTTTTCTTTAATAGTCTAACTTTATTGCTGTCCCAATGAATAAATAACTTAATGTTTTAATCCAGATTCCTAGCCATGGTAACATATTGAAAGAGCTAGCGGCTTACATGTTTCATTGCCACACTGAGGAGAATGATGGGGAACTGCATATAAACAATTAACAGATAACATATTTCGCTATCAAATGTTAATTAAGTCAACAGCAAATTGTCTGCTCCGGGAAGGAGGGGCTGAATGTGGCTGAACCGACAAAGAAATATAAGTGCCTCGTGTGCGTACTGCTTCATTGTTCTTCCTCTTTTGAGAAATGAGAAACACCCACATATGTGGGTGGTATCGCCAGCGGTCAAACATTGCAAGTTGCTGGTGGAAGCCATTCCATTTGTGTTTGCGTGTAATGTTAGATGAGCCTATGAATACGTTTCTGGTAGAGACTTAAGGCGTATACCCACCATGCGCGATATTTGAGGGATCTGATCGCATTTAATCAAAGGAAGCTTCTGGAAGATTTCATCCAAATATTGCAATCCACGCACTTCAGTACGCCGGTGAGATTTGGGATTTTCGTATACGCACGTAGTTTGAATACTTAAAAGAATGCATAGTGAAAGTTTAACTTATCAAAATATGCAAGAGTAATAGACAAGAAACATTATAACTAATAGTTTTTTAGTTTATTTAGACCCAAGCTTACAGACTGAACTCAAAGAGAACCTCACAGCACCTAACTGGTCTACACCTATGAGAAACGTAAACAACCTCTCGAATGAAGATTGTTCCTTGCAAAGAGTCTTAAGTTAATATTTACAGTGGTCATCCCTTGGAAAATTAATTTCATTAATAAGAGGTTACATCGCGCGTTTCTTTCAATAGTACTTAACACGGGTGTTTGAGAATTAAAGTAGCTCGTTTTCAGCGATCAAAAAGATATCCCTGAATAAATCACCGGGAAGCCCTAAATAACAGTAGAAATACCACAAGGAAAGTTAGGCTTAAAAAGAAAAATCTTAATTGAGACAAAAAGTTTAACTCTGTTACCGTGTTTTCTTCTCAGTTGTAACGAAAGTTTAAGACAAACTATTGTAAATACACTACTTACATGTAGTTTTAAACTAATCCACTCCTCTTGATGACTAGTGGTTTTAAAAGAAGTCTCAAAACAGGAAAGCAATATATCATTAATTTAAAATTTACGACTTAGAGAAGGGGGAAAAAACAGTTTAAACGACGATTAACCAAAGTCCGTCTCGTTAACTTTATCTGATAATTGTGGCGGTTATCGGAGAAAGAAAATCCTTTCTATAGAGCATTCATCTTAGCCTTTTCAATGAGTTCTCTTCCAATGATCAATCTTTGAATCTGCGCTGTACCTTCATAAATCTGAAAGAGAAGAGAAGATCGTTTGGGCAAGAGCGACCTTACGGCATCTTCGACATCAAATTTGAATTCGTCCCAATCAGGCTCAAGTGCGACCTTACGGCATCTTTGACATCTAAATTTTGAATTCGTCCCAATCAGGCTCAAGTGCGACCTTACGGCATCTTTGACATCTAAATTTGAATTCGTCCCAATCAGGCTTGGCGATCTTTGAGATTGTAAACTTTCAGCGCAGTTCTGCCAACCTTGGCTGCAAAGTGCTTATTTTTTTTTTACCACTGCTTAATTAGAGAACTCGTTACTGTAAAGATCGCTTTCATATTCATTTCTTAATCCGCAGTTCACATACACTTGTATATGATTTCCATATATTCACAGTCATCGAAAAGTGCTTTATCCTAAAGGGATCTCTAAAGGGATCTTAGAAACAAGGTGGTCGCAGTTCAGTCAGTTATTTCGTTATTTTTTGTACCCACTTTCAATTCCAGTAGCTTTAGCCGAAACGGACGAGGAATGGAAGATGTTATAAATTAACTGATGTAAAAATTTCAGCACCAAAAGCAAAAGGGGAAAAAGCGAAAGTAAAAAAACTTACTTGAAAGATTTTAGCATCTCTCATCAGCTTTTCAACAGGGTACTCGGTGTTGAATCCAGCGCCACCAAAAATCTGCGACAAAGAAAATTAAATGTGCTGCTTCATTACTGGATGACAGCAAGCTGGGCCATTACGGAAAAAAACTAAAACAACTACTCTGATGTTGATGTGAGAAGTTTACGAAACGGGTTTCTTTGGCTCAGTCCGATACCATGTGATAATTCGATTCAAGTGTACGCTGATGGCGTTTTCTGTCATAAGATGTTGCGATGTGATTCTTGCGCTTAAATGTGCGCTACAACCTCGGTGTATTCACCCAAAACTATATGACTGAACTTTTTTAATTCGGAAGACAAGCATGGATATGTCGAAAAAGTTTGAATTACTCGCAGTAAAGATCGATATAAACATATTTTTATTAGAACTGTTTCAAATTGTCTTTGTTGTAACGGAAATGGGCAACTTAAAGCGATTTTAGAAGTTAGGTCTTTGACTTTTACCACAAACCCTTCAAACCGTTGAAATTCAGCAAAAAGAACAATTTCAACGAAAATTAACTTTGATTTTGAAATCAAATATTTTGTCATTCCGGAATATTAAAAAATAGGAATTGTCACTTTGTTTATGTGGGTTTCCTGTGCCATAACCTGCACTAAAAAGTACCATTAGGAAATAATTGTCCTCAATATTACCTGAACGGCATCTGCAGCACATTTGTTGGCAACATCTCCTGCTAAACACTTAGCGACGGAGGCGTAGTAAGTGTTACGGCGGCCCTGACAGATACGAAGGATACATAGTTTTGATGCACAATCACCCATGTGAATCAAACCTTTCTTAAGACACAAACAGGTGATAAAAAGCAAACGTATTCACGAGATGGATTACCTTGATAGAACAACAGATTACCTAACTGTTGTGCAATGCATAAAGAGGGAAAAGCTTCTAATATAACTGTGGTGCTGTGTCGGTGGAGTGTGTTGCAAGATTTTGAAGTTGATTTTGTCAACCGAATTAACAATTAACAATTGATGCGTAAGAGTTGCTCGAGGCTACGCCTCGAGTAACTCTTACGCATCTTTCGTGCTCTCCAAACTTCCCGCGTGCTTCATATCTCGATGAACGCACAGCTGACGCATGAACCAATTGTTTTATAACATTTTCAACCCGATGGAAAATCTTTTTCTCGAAGGATTTGTTTGATGACGTCACGAGCGTGCACAATAGGAATATGAAACACGCTCGCGCAATTGAATTTAATAGCTATATTATTATGTAAATTGGCCACTGCAGAGAGTTTCTACAGCTGATGGTTTAAGCGTTAACCCCATGTCCGAGACTCGCTCTGACGAAGGGCGAAATGCTCGAAACTTCAGCTTAAGAAACTCTACGGTAGCTAATTTACATTTCCAACTCGGTCGATAACATCAAATTTCCTTATTAGTCAATAAAATGTATGTTAGCTTAAATCATCTTTGGGAGATAGGGATTTAAATAAAATGTCAATAACCACATCTCATCAAAATTTAAAACAGAAAAAGTAAAATATTTCTTCATCCTACAAACTTTTGTTAGCGACTTCTTGTTTACTGAGTAGACTCAAATAAGCCGATTTAAAAAAACAAAAAGGTCCAAAGCAGAACACAACATAGGCAGCAAACTTCATAAAGGTTAGGTTTTATCTCTCTTTCCTCCAAAAATACAGCGGATGTTTCAGGGCTCTCTTAAAACTAGCTATGGTAAATGTGATGTCCCTGTTTAAATATTATTTAAATAAATAAATAAATAGACTTTCGTCAAGTATTCAGACCGCTGTCCATCAAATACTCCTAACAGAATGAATCTGGTTTAGTAATGCACTGACAGTGAACAAACCTGGTCTACTTCCCAAGCTGCGCGCCGCGTTGCCAGTCGGGCTGTTTCGATACCAATGGCCATGTCAGCTAACATGAAACTCACAGCTTGATGCTAAAGATCAAAATAAAAGAGAACAGTTAAAAAAACTAGGCTCTAATTAACCGTTCATAAAGGTAACAAGTAATTGTTTGAGATAAATTTGACTTATTTTCTTTATCTCTTGAAAGGTTTTCATGTTTTCATTTGCTTAAGAAGGCATCATGGATATCCGATGAAAACAAAAAAGCGTGACCAAATGTTTGGGTATTTGTGTTTCGAATTCTGCATATCATCGTCTTTTCACCCCTGTCTCCTTCACACTCATGATAAAGAGGGATCCTGGGAATCAGCATACCTGAGCGATGGGTCTGCCCATAGTTTTCCGTTCCAGTGAGTATTTTAGAGCCTCTTCCATGGCTCGCTGTGCAAGACCAACAGCGCTAGAAGCGACCTTGAAAACGGAAAACAAGCGTAAGTTAATCGTCCTTTTCTTGATGAGTTGTTGATTATTATGGTAGAGACTAGAGACTTGAGACTTGCTTTGAAACTGTGGATCCAGCTTAAATACTTAATAACACATAGAGAGCTTACCAATTCATCCAAATGCAATGCATGTAACTCTCAGATTATTTTCAAAGAACCCAAGACGACTAATTAAATAAGGAAAACCCTATTTTATTTCAATCAACTGTTACACAAAAACCACGCTAGAATGAAAAAAAAAAAAATACCTCGACTGGTAAGCCAGGAAAACAATCTTACCGGAGGGCGTGTCTTATCAAATGCTCCCATGGCAATCTTGAAACCAATACCTTCTCCACCAAGAACGTTCTAACAAATTAATAAACAAACAGAAATACATTATAATTCAGTAATCAGTGGAACTTGGTTAAAGCACTAGAAGGAAGCAATGGAGGAATATAACATTCATTCTCCCTTTGTGAGTGGTCTACAAAACATGCAAATCTAGGCAATGCCAAACCAAACCAATCGCGACGTCTCATGCACTCATTTTCCCGCGTGCGGTGACATCTGTTTGAGTCCTCAGCGGCTTCTTTTTTTATTAATTTTTTCGTGTTTTGATTGGCCATTGTGATAATTCAGGATTTTCATTTACTTTTGAAGTAGACGGGCACTGCCTTGTGAGTAGGCAGGTACACTGTATAATTGAGGGCCGAGGGCCTGAACCCCTAGGGGGAGTCTGGGGGCATGCTCCCCCTGGAAACTTTTAAAAGTTAAGTCTCCCAGAAACGCATTTTCCTGCAATCTGGCGAAGAAATCTACCTAGAGTGATGCATACTTAATCTGATTACAGTTAAAATAATGGTAATCTGAGATAATTTGTTTATTTCTCTACACAGCTATAGCTACATCAAAACACTGCTGTTGTTATCAGAGCTTCCTTTCTTCTTACCATTACAAGTTAACTTTAACTTATAAACTGATGAAGAGTGAAACTGACGACACTTTTTTTTGTAGTTAATGAAAACTCAAAGTCAGAGCCGTAATCATTTACGTTAATTCCTTTTGTCACCATATATCACCCAACAGTTAAAAATTTAAAACAGATATTGATGGAACATGGGAGTCTGATACAAAATCAGCCCTTGCTGAAAACAATTTTTACAAAACCTCCAATGGGCTTTATCTTGAATAAAAATTAAATTGGAACAAAGTTTCTTTCAATTTCTCGGAATATTTGAGCTTTAAAGCCAACTAAATGTTGGCTTACTAAGAAGCCGTAACGACATTCGTCTCCTGTTGTTTATTTTAAATTCTGAATTGTATTTCAGAAAAATAAAAAGTGTCTTATGAACAGTTTAAATAATGGAAAGCATAGAAAGCGTACGTAATTTTTCGAAAAACCTTTTCACCGGCTGTATTCCAATTAAAAGTGGAAAACATAAATTTAATTTTTTAGGTCATCGCTTCTGACTTTTCATGTGCAAACGAGTGCTTGCGTGAGTTTTACTTTTGTTTGCCATGATGACTCTGCAGAACGCACTTGCTTTAATGACACGTCACGTTTAAGAGTTATTTAATAGCTAATTAGGCACTTTGGAAAGAGACAGTTCTAAGAACGCTATTTGGGACCTTAAGCAGTCAGGACGGCAACGCCAAGGAAGACTTCGATTAAAAAACGAATTTCTGCCTATAATTAGAATTTCAACAATGGCTGCATGTGTTTACCGTCTCGTCCGGTGCCACTCCTCGACTTCAGCATAACGTATCAAAGAAACGTTGAGTTCCAGTAGAAATTCAAATAATTTGCCGTCGCGGTTTCGGTTCGCAGACGACGCAAATTGTGGTGATTTCACGTTGTTGTTTTGCATAGGACGGCTCAGAAATGTACAAACGCACGAGCTGAGCTAATGTTCTGACCATTATATCTTTTGTTTTTCCATGTCCTCGTTGCCGTCGCGTGGTTTGCTTAAGGTCCCTATGATCGCGCAGCGCCTTACTCGTCAGAGTAAATTTTATTTCCACAATCTGATGGCAAGTAATTGATAAATAAGTGCAAAAAAGTGTTTTACTTACAGGGAAGAGTTAATATTTAGCTGAAGTTGATGATTTTTCTCATGACAATTTTCTTTTCTTAATTTCGCACTTTAAGTAGCCGGGTACTCTGTTCAAAGTAGACGGGTGCTGCTACCCGGGACCCGGCTCCCAACAAAAACCCTGGATAATTTCGTTTTGAATCCGCATACGCTCTGTAACGTCAAAAAACAAGGCTCACCTCCTTAGGAACAACAACATCTTCAAATGTGATTCCACGAGTATCAGAGGCTTTCTGACCCATGTTCCATTCCTACAGGAAAGTAATGACAAAAAGAACTATTACACAGACGCATACTACAATCACAAGGACTAAAAGAGTGGAGTGTATTGGACGTGACCAAGGATCATGACTATCATGGCTAACGCTCTGACGAATGGCTAACGCTCGAACTGTCAGCCTTTAAAATCTTTACGGTGGCCAATTTACGTTTTCAACTCAGTTGTCAACAATAAATGACCTGTTACACTCTCCCACTGACGCACCACCACACTTTCTTTAAAAACTAACATCCTTCATTCATGATTGAGGAAAGCCAGCCACACCAAAAGGAATGTTTAAGAATTAAGGATGGTTGGTTGCAAAAACAAGTTACATTTACAGTCGGCTCTTTGAAAGCTAAGAGTATTATTTATATTATACTTGCATATTTGTTAGAACAGTTAAATGTGTCATTTTCCTTGTGGTTATATTTCGTACAGCAATACTGATACAAGCATTTGGGTAAAAGGAAATTGTTTGCCAAAGTTGTGCATCAAATTGCACATCCTTTACCAGTTACATGAGCTTAACAATAATGAACTAACAATGAGCTATCTGAGAGGACAGTCCATACTAAATGATCTACACAAGTAATGCTGTGGTTACAGCTTCAGTTTGAAGATTCCACCAGTGATGTGGAGTAAAGCTTTCAATTCACCTTCCTTCCTACAGTTACACCAGGAGTGTCCCTTTCCACAATAAAGCCTGTGAATGCTTTACCAGCTCCAGCATTTGGGTCAGTTCGTGCCAGAACAAAATACCTGAAATAGCATGAAGAGTATGGATCACCATATAATTCCTCCATAGCCAATCAGAATAGATTGAAGTATCTTAAAATATATGTACCAAATGCATGTAATTTTACTTCTAAGTGTTTGAAGGCAAGTAACTGTGACTTGTGTATAGTAATGGCCCATGCAACAGGAGACCTGAAGAGGATTGTTACTAATGGCATTGACTGACTTGGCAACAACCCGTCAGCAAAGTTGTGTGAGAGAGTTAAGGAGTTGTTTTCAATTGTCATCTGTTGATTTTCTCACAAATTTTTATTAAGGAAAACAATTGTGGCACAGTAAAACCCAAGGTTCTTAATGATGCACTATCAAACCATCATCCACCTAAGATGTCAAAGTATTGTTTGTTACATTGTTGTATCTGCTACACCATAATAATCAAGGGTTCTAATGAATTTGATAAAGAAATGTAAAGCTGGTGTAGGGTTGAATTACTCCATAGAGACTGAGTTCTTACCAATTGGCAACACCTCCATTGGTAATCCACATCTTCTGACCATTAATTACATACTAAGGAAAAAAATTTTAAAAAGAAGAAGTTATAACAGAATATGAGAATCATAAATCATATGTATACAATAAGTAACACAGCAACACTGTTTAGGCGGTCCTTTACATTGTATCCTGAATACTGTTGTTGATGTACATGTTGGATGTTCCAGACATTAAATCTAAGATAAAAAAAACCACATATATTGTAAATGCTAAGAGGAAGCATTTATTTACTTCATCTCCTTTCTTAACGGCTTTGGTCCCAATTGCGGCCACGTCAGATCCTGCACCAGGCTCAGACACGCAATATGCCTAAAGAGAAGAGTAAATATATAATCACAAGCACCAATTGTGGTTCAGTTACCTTAATTTGGTGCTTATTGATGAGTGTGAGGCAACACACATCACCAGTAACTTACATTGCTGGCCAAAATCATTACCATAATCATCAACAATTATTCACCAAAGTGGAGGTGAATATTGATGGATATTTACTGGACCATGATAAAGAAAGTAAATATCCATCACTTTCATGGGCACTGAGGTGAAAAATTGTTTCCAATAAACCACACAGATACCAAACCATATTCTTTCACTATACTAAAAAATGGTTGGAAATATAAATCTTGACATGCAATTTTGTCTAATCAGCTGCTCAAATCTGAGTAGTACTTGCTATTCACTTCCAAACTGACCAAACAGTACTATTTACTTGTGTGGTATATAATAAAACTACATATAATTCCACAGTGAGTTTAATTTACATGTGGACTTAACATATTTAAAAGTTATGAATACATGTAAGTGAAAGTTGATATACATACAGCCATCAGAGGTTCTTCCATCATACGACCAAGGTATTTTGCTTTTTGTTCTTTATTTCCAGCTAGGATGACAGGCATTTCCTGTGTGAGATGGCAGAGAGTAAGGAAAAATCATCACATTGAAGTGCCTGTGATTACCAATAAAATTGGATAATCCCTGATAACATGATTTTATCTCATGCACTCATTTGAAAAATTTTTCACTCCAAACAAAGTACCAGACACTTTATGTTTCTGAGATAAAAGTTACTTCTCACCTGTGTTAGGACAAGAATAATTTTTTTTGTAATACCGTAACATTCCGAAAATAAGCCCCTCCATGTATAAGCCCCTCCAGCAAAAATACCTCCTATAATAAGCCCCTCTGAATATGAGCCCCCGTGGGCTTGGATTTGGAAATTATCCACAATTATACAAACCAAAGCAAACTATACATAATCACCATTATCAGGAAGCCCTTTTTAGTCATAAAATAATGATTCTATGCACTAAAGCAATGTGGTCAACAAGTGTTGAAGTTTATTGTCTTTTATGCAGTTCGCTCTTCACTTGCACTTTGAATTCCTTCAGTCTGTAGACAAAGTATTTGCAAGGAAGTTTGATCCCACCAACCTGAACCCAAACTCCCTCTGGTACTCCTCAAGCAATATGAGCTTTCATAGTTATCATGAACTTTGAGCCTGAACTATGTTACTGTTTTTACTGAATTTCCATCCTAATAAAGTTTATTGTCATTGTGTTTTAACTTGGCATTTTCAGTGTGATTAAATTGTTACAAATTTTTTAGCCAAAACCCTAGTATTACCAGTTGCACATTCAAAAATTTTGACACAAATTTCCCTCCAATTATAAGCCCAGCCAATTGTGAAATGCAAATTTCCCTCCTATAATAAGCCCCTCTGAATAAAAAAAATAAGCCCCTCAAAAAGGTCCTTTGAAAAATGTAAGCCCCTGGGCTTGTTTTCAGAATTTTACAGTATATGAAAAATATACATTTAGAAAGAATATGAATGAAAATGCTTTAAATAAAATAATTTAAGTCAGGATTATTTTTTCAGTAAAAAGCCACCACTTACTGCCAAAGAGTTTGCTTCAATAGCAGTTTGAATTCCAGTACATCCATATGAGAGCTCCTCTGTAACTACGCAACCATCAAGAACACCAAGTGCAGGACCCCCTTATAAGAATTAAAACATGCATTGTCAGTGAGTCAACAATTCCTGCACACAATGATATTGCAAAGCTATGATAAGAAGTTAAAAGTACAGCTTAAAAAACACAATAAACTAAATTTTGAATCCAACAGGCACTCACCATACTCCTCTGGAATATGACCATTTATGAGTCCCAAAGCATGAGCTTTCTTGATAATCTCCCAAGGATACTGAGGAATACAAAATGAATGTCATGTACCATCCCTAATAGATGTACAGCAGTCATGAAAGTCATGTTATTTGCAATATCTAATGTGCTCAAGCAACAATTAGCGGGGAATTTTGGACTGATGTGTAATAGATTGTACTATTGATGCACAACAAGTATATATATTCAGCTTTAGTGTATTTTAGCTTTAGTTTATATATTCAGCTTAAGCGTATTTCTATATGGAGTGTAATATATCAATGTACTATTGACGTATGACAAGTACATGTATTCAGCTTTCGTGAACATCCTTACAAACTGTACTATCCAGATACATGTACAGTTGTATGTGTTTCAAGGTATCTTACCTCACCAGTCTGATCATGATGGGCAGCAACTGGTACAATTTCTTCACGGGAGAACTTCCTTGCCATTTCTTGAAGTTGCTGTAACTCTTCAGAAAGTTCTAATGGCAAAAGAATGATGGATGTGCTAATGAGTTTCCAAACCTTTTTCATAAAATAGTATGGTAAAATAAGAGGGGAAAACATTAATATTATGTGTCTCTTCACAGATTAAACTTCACTATTATCATAATTGGAGCAGTTTTCAAATCAGGGTGACAATAATCTGTCAATGTACTGTTTTTACCTCTATATGCTCTGTGAGAGTTCAAGAAAACTTTTGCCTCCTTTCTACTCTGCTATATAAATCTCATTAACAACAATTTGGGATGCAGGGTGGGATGCAATTTTTCAATTTTATAATATTTCATTAATTACTTGTAAATCATTGTGTATTATTTTTCTAATAATTTTTCACTAATTGGCCCTCTACTGACAGACCTAACTTGTGAGCACATCTATATACAGAGTTCAACAACCATATTGAAGACATATATGTATCACAATCATTTTCTGTTAGTACTGTGTTTATCCAGTCCAAAATGTTCAAAACAAAACAATAATAACTCACCAAATGAAAGGCCAGAATTGAATGTTGATGCCTCCAACTTGATGGCTGGTGCTTCTGTACTAAGCTTTGCTCTCTTTCAAAAAAAAAAAAAAAAAGAAATGAGGACATCATTAAGTTGAAGTCCAACTCCAATAAGCTTTAAGGACCAAGGATTGCAACGAATTTTGGCCCTGGACCTAGTTTAGCAAAGCTGTTTTCTAAAGCATCTTTAAATTCCCCAAGGATATCAAAATCAGTCTTACTGTTAAAACTAGAAAAAAAGATTCGAATAAATTTACATGAACTTTAAAAAACCCATCAACAGCTGTGTTCATTGTATGTCTAAGATATAGCTTAGGTTAGCCTTACTTTAATCAACTCGCTTCAAGGTTCCAACCCACAGTCATGAAAAGTGATCATGCAGTGGACTGGTTTGTTATCGACTTCAATCCTCTTCACGACATGTCTGCTTCCATCTCAGGCAAGAATATTTGCTCTAAAAAAAATTTAATGTAAAGTCGAAAGCCAAAATTCTTACCAGAGCAGTGACTCCAGCAGAAATAATTCCCCTCTGAAAGATAAAAAACCATGGAACATTGAAACAAAAATTATGACTTCTATCTCAAAAATGCAGACAGCTGAGCCCTTGAACTAAATGCATGTCAGCCCTAAACTTAACCAAGAAATATGGTAACCCATCAAGCCAAGAGGACTTAGTTGGCTATTCATTCCTTGTTTGAAGTAGGCTAAAGCTCGGAGAATTTGTCCACTTAAAAGCCAAATTGATTTTTGGAATCTCTTGACATTTCTAAACAAACATCTGATTTTCTTAGGAAGTTTGAAAGAACCTTTTGGTGGAAGTCATGTGAAAATTTCTGACTGACAGGCATTTAGTCACAGCGTTTTGGGAAAATCAAATCAAATGAAGGTAACTGTTAAATTTTTTCCTCAGAAATTTGGGCTTCTACTCCGACGATCTTACCAAAGTCTTTGAAACTGAACCATTCATAACGACTTTCGTAGTTAACTTACGTAATCGATTGATTTCGTAAAGAGATTTCTCTACTTATCAGACGATCGCGGGTCATTTCATCGATAACTACCCACCCTGAGTTAAGTCTGATTTATTCAGTTTATTCTATGCCACTGGATGTCTTACCTGTAGTCCAAAACCACCATTCCGTCGGAGAAAACTCAGGGAAGCCATGTTCACTTGTATTCAAGAAGACAGCGTACAAAGTTCAGTACAGATCGAGGTCATAAAGGAAAAACGATAGAGAGAAGACTGGTACCTAACAGACGGTAAGACCACCACAGGGGACGAGGGGTGGGTGGGGATACTTCCCAATTATTTATTGCGCGCCTTCCTCCGAAGAAAAAAGTCATCGAATAATTTTTTGTAGACTTTCATTAAATGCCTAATGTCTGTTTCGAAAAATGCAATAAAAATATAGATCACCGTACTTGACTGAGAGATACGGGCCAAACTTACCCCGTTTATGCCTGAACTTGCACTAATCACGTGCGTTATTTAATCGGTTCACGGTAATATTTTGCGGTAGCGGGAAGCAAGGGTTATGACAGTAAAAGTTAAAATAACTTGATTGGTAGTAAGTCTCGACGTATAGGATAATTTGATGCATAGTTTGTGGAAAAATCACGCAGTTTTAAACAACATTGACTCAAAACGTTCCTCGAGTCATTGCTTTCAAGGCCATAATTTGTGTCTTCAAGTGATGGCCTTCGTGCACGCTTTTAACCATATCTTTCTCTTGCCTTCGATGATTTTTTAAAAATTTTTCCAATTTAAAGGGGGAAATTTGTATACCAAAATTATGCAATAAAAGAATACCGCGCTTTTTCAAGAGCTTAAGACCATGGTACCTCATTACCTCGTCTATTGATTGAAAAACAATCCCATGTTGTCGGAATGCACAAGCGCTTATTCGCCTTTGACCACTTTGCAAATGTGTGACCATCGTTTCTCGGTCCCAGACCTCGTCGCTTCCCCCCCCAAAACGCCAAACGCTCTCGAGAACTGAGCTTGGGATGTCTGTGCAGACACTGTGTCGCTTAAACAAAGATGGCGGAGAAAGTGGCCGATACGAAGGAAACGAAATCAGCCGTAGGATCAGGTGAAGGCCATCAAGACGCTTTCAGGGAGGGCATTCTGCAAATGTTTCGACCGGCAGTTGAAGAACTGGACAGTAAAGCTCTAAGTGTGAGGTACTAATGGCATTGAGAGGGGTTCAACATCTTTCCTTTCATTTATCTTTGCAAGCCATACTTACATTAAAAAAAAAAGGAAAACAGACCCAAAAGCGAAGATAGACTCAGAAAGAGAGAGAGAGAGGGAGGGGGGGGGGGGGGGGGGGGAGATCGATCCTACTATGATTAAAGAATTTTATCTTTTAAATGTTACAGACAATCTGTTCGTACTAAATTATAGTACAATGGCCAAATTAAATAATAGGATTTCTGTAACGTCAAGATTTTAACGTTTCTCGGAAAGAAATACCACACAGTCAAAAATCGTTAAATGTGCTACTCTGAGTGCCTTAACACGAAACTCCGCGTTAGTAATAGGTGAAGGGGCAGAGTTAACAAATAGATTCCAGGTTTTGGTGTATCTGTTCAGTAATACAACACAGATGACATCAAAATGCAGTAAGAAAAAAAAAAGTGGCACACAAGCTACAGCTTTATTTAGCCCAGGATAGCCATCCAAGTGATCAATTTTTATTTTCAGGAAAAGTCAAGTTGAGTTACGTGAACAAATTGACAAGTTAGCACAAGGTTAGTGTAAGTTTTAAATGTTGTTGAATGAATTATTTTGATTGGATGGTGTAATTGCACCTCATCTTTCATTATTTAAGTTGTGTCTGGTAATCTTTTGTCTAGATCTGCATAGATTGTCTGAGCTTCAAGAGTTCCCAATCGACCTCGAACCATATGTAAAGAAACTGATGAATTCAAGAAGAAGAGTTATGTTGGTAAACAACATACTACAAAATGCTCAGGTACTGGAATCTACACACTCTTGCATGACTTTGCACATAAACACAGACTTTAAATTAATTTAGCAAAAGATTGTCTTATGCTTGTGAAATGTAGTTCGTGGCCATTATGACACTGTATCTGATGCCTCATGCAAACTTGTGGCAAGTGGCTCCTTGGTGAATGCAGTAATCAAATTTTAGCAGAGCCACTGAGCTATTGATAACATACTATATTTATTTGGCTATGTGCCAAGACCCCAAACTTTGTACATGTAGACTCTGCATAATGAGAACCAAAATTAAATCGAAAACACCTGGCTATAAGCCAAGACCCATTCATTATCATTGAAAAAAATCACATTAATTGTCATAAATGAGGCTTAAACAATGGTGATTTAATATGTAAAGGACAAAAAAGCTAACTATTCAATTGAAAAGCAATGAATCAAAACTCAGATGAATTAATGTGATCCAAAATATCAATTTAAAACTAACTGTGTTGAGACACGGATGCGGTTCGAACTACCATCCAGTCGCACTCTTGAATTGGAATTAAAAGTTAATAACCAATGATTGCATATTGTGTTTCTTTACTTTAGCTTGGCTTATAAGTAAATACATCCCAATTTAGTAGAGTTTCCATGCACTGGAAAAATTTTTTTCAAAAACTTTCAGCTATAAGCTGAGACCCCCTCTAGAGCCTAAATTTTAATTCACTTCAGTTTTAATCTGTGTAAAAATTGCTTGGCTTATAGTTGAATAATTACAGTACTAAAAAAAGTTGCAAGGTTCATAGTTAACTTGGAGTAACTTCTTTTGTGTAATTATTGCCCATTCTTATTGAAGAGAGAAGATTAAGGTCACAAGAGCTCACTTAAATCTGTTTAAGAATTACATCCTTAGTACTAGTATCCATTTTTATGAATGGAAAGGACTTGGTTGGCTCAATTTCATTTTTACCTTCAAGTCTAGTCTTCATTCCTCCTTGACAAGAGACATTTTGACAAGGCTGTCGATAACTTTGAAATTAGAAGGCATACAAAAAATAGTAGGTGGCTAGGTTGTCATGGAGGCCATATTGTTTTGTCAGTCAACATGCAAGCCTGAGAACTGTTCACACAAAATGTCCAAGGCATTCAGTAAATTTTGTGTGTACATTCTAAGAAATCGTGAAGGTGGAATTGATTGACACAATAATCTTAACCTGTTACCAGTACATCGTGCATGCTGTTTCACTCAAAACTGGGAAATGGTTACTGTCAGTACAAATATCTTTGTTTTACATATGCTAATGTGAAGTTTACGTAGCTAACACTTGTCACACTTGACCATCACTGATCCTTTCTGATAAAAAGTCACCTATGTGGTGTTTTTATACCATTATGATAGGAAATTATTATTTCAAGATTTAACAGAGAGAGTTATGGGGTTTAGTGGATTTCTTTGGTGCCTCACACTTCAATTAATAACAATTTGAATTTTAACATTTTATTTAGGAAAGACTTGGAAGGCTTCATCAAAGTGTCACAAGAGAGACTGCAAGGAGGAAAGCTCTGCTGGAACCATCTGAGTTTTCATGATAGTGTCAACTAAAATATACAGTACAAGGGTATTAATGGACAAATATTGGATGGTATACTTTTATGAATAGTTGTAGATATGATTATTAAAATTTCTTTAAAAAAAAAAATAATCATGAATGCACAACACATATTAAAGTGAATTTGAATCATGCTTAATTGCATTATTTGTGAACCATAAATTCTGAAGAAGCTTTTTTTTATGTCAGTAGGACCCTGCTAACATGAACTTGCAGAAGATCCAATTTTCCTCTACCCCAATTTTTCAGTCATTTACTCTCAGCCAAGCCGAAACCCCTATGAACTTGAACTTTACTTATTTCCCTTGGTAGTTCAGGCAGGATTCTACCCCTGAGAATAGAGGAAGTTAAAATATGAAGGGTTTTCAGTTGGACAGTCTCTATATCATGGACACTTTTAAGATGCATGGTTGAATTAAAGGTACATGTGAATTTTTTCTGTGGCTTTCATTGTGTGAAGCTGTTTGGATATACGTCACAACATGTTTCAGTGTGTACGAATTTTGTAATAGATCGTAAGTTTGTGAATAAGACATAACAGTGAATATGAAAGCAGTCTTGGTAATGATACTTAATACTTAATTGCAACTTTGTTTACTGATGAAAATTTTTTCTAATGCTCCACATGCATCATGTACACTACCTTTGGACTGTCAGATTTCAAATTTTTTGGAAACTTGTAGTACTGTTACTAGTAGAACATAGATCAGACACATATTAGATAAACATGCCCACACAAAGTATCAAGAAATCCCATTTTGTGGAGTCTGTCACATTCATCCTTTGACCCCTTTTGAGAGTGACTAGCATCTAAAATCTCCTTACAATATCACACATTTAGGTTACAAGAATAAAGGAAATGATTACTAACTAAAGAACCTCTTGATTTACACACAACTTCTCTTGACAGCACTGTAGGAAATTTATATAAAACAGTATGGAAAATATGTACACTGATGTTGAGGGGTTGTGTTGTCCGTTGTAGATTTTCTTTAGTGGCACAATTCACTTGGCAGCTTAAACCATGCTTTGTTTTTGTGAAGTTTAGAACTCTCAGCAGAAAGACGTAACATTATATAATGCGTTTCACTCCATTTATAACTAGGCCTGGTGCTACATGATATAATCAGGAAAGAAGAAAAGTGTTAACCAATAAAACAAGTTGAAGGTAAAGAATACAAACGAAAACAGCTTGAGAGAAAACTCATCGACGCCAACGATAAAAGCTTCGCGATAAATATATTCCTGAACACCGTTCCAACATTTCCCACAATTACTTTGCGTCTCGGTTTGTGGAACATGCATCCCCAGGTTCTCGTCCGAGCAGCATTTTAAACACTTTCCATTTGTGAGGCTAGCAGATTTTGCTCGTCCGTTCCTGAATGCATGGATCACGTTTCCTTCGAGTGTCACCACTGGCTGCTTGCGTCTTCTACTACCATTATCTTGTCTCACACTTTCAGCGCACTGCAGAAAAAAGAGCGCACCCGTAAGAATTGCATATAACTATGATGTATGGTTGAATTGGACTAAGGAAACAGGTTAAAGTACATCAATCGGGAAATAGAAACTGAAATTTCAAGTAGTAATGAAAGAGAGAGAGTTAACGTTTTGAAGTGCGTATCTGTTTGATGTATATATGAAGAGAGTTTTACAATTTAAAGTTTTTGTCTCTCGTTTGTGAAATCGTAGGATAGTTGTAGAACATTTGGAGAGGTATTTTTTATGCGCAACCTGTAACCTACGATTGACCTTTTTGCTTTAAAGTACTTCCGTCACTTAAAAAAGCGATCGGTTCCACTTCAAAACGGTTTGACCGACAGGAAATTCACGAGACCATACTAACATTCATTTTTCCGAGGTATTTTAGAACGAATGTGTGAATTAAGCCTTGTTAGAAACCGTTTCTTAAGTTTTCCCAAACTTTCAGGGTTCTTTGTTATGTTTCGACTGTGCAATGTTGTTACTCTGATTTGGCCGGTCACGTGACGCGTTTGATTCGTCCTGAGTTATGTTCTTTCCTAGGTTTTACCTTGTCTGTGAAGTTCCCGACTTCCTTCTTTCTTAGCTCAAACTTTCGTTTTCCTCGATCAAGAAGAAGCACAATGGCATATTCCACCAGGGAACAGAACACGAACAGGAATGATACAATCAAGTACTTGTCAATAGCTTTCACATAATTTACCTCAGAGGTAACATAAAATGGCTTTGTTAGTAAAGCTGAAAACAATTTGAGCTTCCAATTACTTCCGCTACAATTTCCTCAAATGAGATTGGTGTATGTAGCTGCTTTATTTTTGACTACTTATTCTGTAGAGTTGTAATCGTACACTGGAGTCGATCACACAGTTGACCGTAAATGGACACCTGTAATCAGACAGTCAAAGCAGCCAATCATACTAAGTCCACAAAGCTAAATCCACCAATCATAGAACTGATTACAATAGCCACAGTAACAACCACTTGCCCATAAAACTGGGGAATTTCCAAAATATAGGAATTTTTCACCTCATATAATAAATATTGAAAGCCCTCTCTAAAAAATGTAATGTATTTGTTATTTTTTTTTCGGAAATTGCAATGGTTATAATTAATTGGAACAGGACTTCGTGTTATTCAATTTAGTCGCTAACAAGCGAATATGAACAGTTGATATTCTCTTGGTCTGTAATTATACTCGTGATTGACAAATCAGACTTCCGCTTCGCGGTCGTTCGATTTTGTAAACACTCGTATGACTTATACAGACCGAATTAAATTCCACTCGGACCTGTTACCATTACATAACGCTAAAACTGAGATTTTAGTGAATTTTGAGGGAATTTTCAGCCGGTTTTCGATAGAGCTGAACAAGCTGTGACAAGGCTTTATAGTTGCATCTATGGGTGTCCACATGGATTTTATTCTATTCTTGTCATCACTTACTGGTCAACCTTCTCAGAAAACCCTCCCCCAATCCTTCACTTCTCTAGCTGCTACACTATTGCTGTTTTTGTTGTTGTTGTTGTTTTTGTTATATTTCAAAGCCATACCTTGGGCATGGCGTTGTTAGACATTGTAAGAATGGTTACTATAGTGAGCACTGACGTCACTCCCAGGGTGACTCGGGCAGGAGACTGGTTCCGAGGCAGTAAAAAGGTAAGCCAAGAGAGTGTGACAATAAGGGCACTGGGTCCGTACAGGTGAATCACTTGGTAACTGTACAGACGCTGTAAGGTGAATGAAGCTTTCACTCCCGACCAGTTACCTTAAAAAAAATAATATCAACAGCTCAAGCTTTGTAGTGGCAAATATTAGGGAGAAAATATGTCCAGAGGGGTTCAGGGTAATTTAGAGACAAGTGTCTACCGTAAACCTACCCACACCGACAAATACCTCGCTTTCGATTCTCACCACCCCATTTGCCATAAAAAGCCTGTAGCCAAAACTTCACTTAGGAGGGCTGACTGTCTACCATCTTCACTCGATTCGAAGGCTGAGGAGAGGAATATGTTTCCAATGTCCTAAAGGCAAATGGCTATACAATAACTTTTCTCTGTAACCGCCAAAAACCAGTTACAAATAGTAACGCTCTCGATGAAAGGGAACCAGCGACTGGTTTTGCTGTTATTCCTTACATACAGGGTTGCTCAAAAACCTTTTCAGACTTTGGGGCATATTTTCGCGAAACCTAAGGATCCTGTCACGAAAGAATAACGAACCGACGCCATTTATTCTATTCCTTGCAATGACTGTGACAATGAATACATCGGACAGACCAAACGTTAGTTTGGTACACGGTTAAAAGAGCACCAAAAAGCGGTTTTTCTTTGCAAAAAGGAAAATTCAGCTTTATCGGAGCATACATGCCTAACTAACCATACAATTGGGTGAGATAATTCTAAAATTATCACCACTAATTGGTGTTACCACTAGCGCCTTTGTTTGGAGGCTTGGTTTATTAACTCCGCCCACGCTCCTTTAAATCGTGACGATGGCGGTTTGCTTCCTGACGCCTATTTACACCTCGTCAGAAAAAAAGGCCGCTAATTAGTGATCATATGAAAGGACCTCTTGTTGCAGCGTTTAGATCACCCCTGATGAAGGCACTAGACAGGAGTGTCGAAACGTTGGGTCTATGAATTGTAACTTCTTCAGTTACATTCATTAAATCTGCAAACCAGAGTAGCATCAAACTATGTCTGAGAAAAAGTTTGCTAACTTATGGTGGGTTGAAATGATATTTCTTGGCGGTGTAGCACTGGTTGTGAAAACTTTTTAAACATTATTAGCAACATCATGAAAAAGAACGGTTAGCATTAGCAGTTGCACAACGAGAAATACCTCATTTATTGTTGAAACGTTACAGCTGATGATATCATAAATACTCACCAATAACATAGGTGGTGTATAATGAGGACAACTGCAACTTGGTGAGTTTGAACTGAGGTAACATCTTCATGTCACTCGGTACAAAAGACATGCCATCCTCGCTGTCGATTTCCCACTTGTAAGCAATATTGTTCATATCATAACCATCTTCCGAGATAAAACACAGGGAAATGGTATCTTTTGCTTTAATTAGTAAGTGACCAGTGTAAAACGGTATGTTCAACCCTTGAAATATTTATCAGGGCACTCACTGTTTAAAATTTGATTTTCAAAATAGGAGAAGGGTAACTCAGGGGATGAGTTTCTAAAGAAACTGTGGTGCTGCGTCGGTGGGAGAGTATAGCGGGTAATTTAGTGTTAACAACTGAGTTGAAAACGTAAATTGGCCACCGTAAAGGGCAAAAAAGCTGACGTTTCAGGCGTTAGCCCTTCGTCAGAGCGTCAGAATTACCAAGTAATTCACTTATCAAAGGGTAACTCAGCTTGTTATAGACTTCTTCCTCTGTGCCGTGTTTTAATTAACTCAGTTGCATAAAGTTTGCTCAAGTCATAGTCGCCTGAACAGTACTCGCGAAGGACACTTTGTAAAAATTAATATCGGTCAACCTTTTGGAAAAATTGACGACTTTCGCAGTTGGAACTTTAAGTGGAACAGCGTCCCATCAGGACTCAAATGTTCTCAGATACTAATAAATGATATTCTAAATAGCAACAGATTATTAGCGTAGGAGATAAACAAATACAAAGAGTTAATCTTACAGCTTTCGATTATCAAAGGACAGTGTTGAACATCCATGGGGTAAAGTCTGAGATCCATTGGACAAGAAGCTTTTAAGGTCACTCTGAAAGAATGTAATGATAACAAGCAAAAGAAATGCCTTCCTTCTTCTCTTTCTCCTTTAATTCCGGATGATTTGTTCAGTTTCTCTCGTACAGTTCCCTAAAGAGGCCACTACTAACTATTAATTTCCTTCATTACTTTAGTAAAGTGATGCACAATAGCGGATCCTACGTCACTCGAAAGGAATCGCTCAAAAATGCCATTTTTAAAATTGTAAGGATGTGAAACCGTTTTAACAAAATATT